GTGTCTCCTTTCCATTCACTACTTGATGTTATTAACCTAGGACCATCTGGTAGATAATCAGGAGGATGAACTCCACTATAAGCCACCAATTTTCACTCCTTGTAAATGGTCTCATAGATGAGATATTGTAAATAAATGCTGCCACCTTGTGGATGTTAGGTATAGTGTTGACACAAACAAGCAAAGGAAGATTGAAAAAGCAGTTTCTGGTTTTCTCTCAGATTCTCACTGTAGTAAGTGATCAACATGAGATATATTTCATGCAGTTTTAGCGAAAGAATAATTACTTAGTCTATGATAAAATACAAATTCAATATTATCTTTTTCCATCCTTTTTCTGAAATAAATTAATTAAATTTTCTATTTTGAGAGGAATTAGAAATCTTTAAAATGAACTTATTATCAATACGTTTGACTATAAGAAACTAAAACAAAACCAAAACACTCTCTCTCTCTCTTTCACACACACACACACACAAAATGAAATCAGAAACTCAATAAATGGACATCACTTTCAATGCCCCTTCACTTTTTTCGCTATATATCTTTTCTTGCTACCTACCAGTTTTCATCTGTCCTAACAAACCTTAAAAATTGGAAGTTTTTCATTTAGGAATGTTAATACAGTTTAATTGAAATAAAAGAAGGGATGCTAGCATAAAATATGAACAAATTCAAGGTATTCAAAGGAAAATAAAATGCAGGCTAGATTCAAAATAATCAGAGAAAGTTTATATAACGAGATCTACTATGGTACATTTAGGCTTGGCTATAACTCACAAAATTATAGACAAGTGTATACATATCACATCAATATTATAAAATAACTTGATAGTTAAACTACATTTCTGAGGCCTTTTATCAACATAAACATTCTTAGCTGTTGTTAAGAATTTAAGCAATAATGTTAATCTGTTGCTTTAAGCTAAATTGTTTCATAATTTCTTGTATTTCTTATCATACAGGCATTAAAATAAATTGTGAGCTTTCCTGAATAAGCATCATGTCTGGCCTGTTTATGGTTATACATTTAGCTTAGTAAGTAGTCAATGATTTGTTGCTACTGAATTATGTAATTAAATGAAACCTACAATCTGCTGCATTTTCATATTTTGTTTAACCCAGTACTGAAGAAGAGCTCACACTGCCAAAATAAAGAAAAATAAATGTCTGATTTTTGTCTTATTCATTACTGATTTAGTTAGCAACCAGTTAGCATGCATTAAAAGACTTCCTGCAAATACTCTTTTCAGAGAATGAATCTTCATACACATAAATATTTTAGTCCTACGAATGAAAAGCAAAGTTTCAGTAAAATGTACAAGTTAAAATGAATCAGGTCTGAGGATGTAGATCAGTCACAGGTACAGCACCAAAAACACAAACAACTTGTCAAATTCCTGATCTGTCTCAAAAACATTTCTTCAAGATTAATTCAACCTAGTAAATTTGATGTGGACGAGCAATTTGAAGAAACCAAGGGATTACTGCTTTGTCTTAATATGTGATTAGCCTTGTAATTTTACAATGTCTATTATTTTAAGAAATGGAGATTATAAATGAAATGATGTAGCACCCGAGATTTGCTTTAAAAAACTTAAGAAAATAAAAATAAAATGAACACATGAAGCAAGTATAATGAACACCCCCACACAGGAAAATAAGTTTTATTCAAGGGATGAGGTAGGAGACTCTCTTCTGGAGAGAATGGGGTTCAGCACTGGTGCCCCAAGTATAATAAAACCTTACTGCTGAATTTGAGTGATGTGATATGAGGAATTATTATTCCATCCCTCCATTTTTATGTGTAATAGAAATTTGAATTAAGAAACTTAAAAAGAATAACCAGCAAGATGATGATGAAAATAACAAAGTATAAATCAATAACAAAGTTACTGGAAAATCCCAGTATTTGAAAACTAAAAATATATCTCAGTAATTCATGGGTCAAAAACATAAATAAATAAATAAAAATGGAAATTAAAGAGTATTTTGATATATACTTTGCAATGTCATGCCATATATGAAAAATATATATGATTTTATCAAATTTTAAATATAAAATTAAAGCTGGATACAGTGGTGCCTGTAATCCTGGTGGCTCGAGAGACCAAGAGAAGAGGATTGCAAGTTCAAAGCCAGTCTTAGCAACTTATAGAGGCCCTAAGCAACTCAGCAAGACCCTGTCTCAAAATGAAAAATAAAAAAGTACTGGGGATGTGGCTCAGTGGTTAAGTGCCCCTGGGTTCAATCTCCAGTACCAAAAAATATAAATAAATAAAATTAAAAACATCCAGGTGCTGTGGTCATGCCTATAATTTTAGTGACTCAGGAGGCCAAAGCAGGAAGATTCCAAATTCAAGGCCAGTCTCTCAGCAAAGTAGTGAGACATTGATTCAAAATAAAAAATGGGAATGTAGCTCAGTGGTAAACTGCCCCTGGGTTAAATCTCCAGTACTCCTCTCAGCCACCCCCCCAAATTTTAAAAACAACAAAAAATAAACTTAGGAATATTTCTAGCACAAAAGTTCTATGTTAGAAAATAAACTGTCAGCTCAATGATCTCAGTTTCTACCTTAAGAAATTAGCAAAACAAAGAACAAATTAAAAAAGCCTAAGAAATAATAACAAAAATCCATAAAAACAGATATATACAATATTAAAACTAAGAGTTGCCTCAATAAAAATGATAAACATTTAAGCCAGACTGCTTGGGAAAATTGTGAAAGTGTCAGAGATAAGAGAGGGACCATTATCATAGACTCTAAAGCTATTAAAGGAACAACAAGGGAATACTATAAAAAACTATATGCCAATAAATTCAACAACCCAGATAACAGGAACACATTTTTTAAAAGACAAAAACTAATAATAATATTCAAGTCAGGAGAAAAGAATAACCTCAATAGGTCAAAACTCTCAAGGAAGTTCAATTTGTCAATAAAAAATGTTCCCTGGAAAGTGTCACTAGAGAATTCTACAAAATATTTAAGAAAGAAATAATACCAATTCTATACAAAATTCCAGAAAATTAAAGTGGGAGCACTCATGAGGAGGACATATTCTGTCATCAAAACCGGATGTGGGCTGGTGCACACCTATAATCCTAGTGGCTTGGGAGGCTAAGATGATGGTGAGAGTTCAACACCAACCTCAGCAAAAAGTAAGGCGCTCAGCAACTCAGCGAGACACTGTCTCTAAATAAAATACAAAAGAGGGCTGGGGATATGAATCAGTGATTGAGTGCCCCTGAGTTCAATCCCTGGTACCCCCCAAAACAAACAAACAAACAAACAAGGATTGTAAGAAAGGAAACAGCAACCTTATAAAATGTATGATATTAATCTTTTCATCTTAGAGATGATAAAATTTAACAACAAAGAGCTTTATAAACTTGCCTATGATTACAATACTAATAACTGACAGCAACATAACTTCAGAACCTAAGATTTTAACGATATAACTGCTTATCAAATTAAACTAGATTCTAGATATTTTTATCAAAGAAAATAGTAAGGAGAGTGCTCAATACTTACCTAGAGACTATGCTGGAACCATTATAGAGATCACTAGCATATGACAATGTGGCCAAAGGTCGTACTGAATTATATCGAGTAAATTTAGACAAGCATTCCTGAAATTCATCCAACTGGCTTGCAGTTCGACTGTCGTCTATAGAAAGAAAACAAAATAGATGAATTCTACTACAAAGTAAGAATAATGTACATAGATTAAAAATTCTAAGTACAAAAATTATTTTAAAAGATTTTAGAGAAGATCAATATGTTCAAATTAATTAGATGATCTTTCAACTTTAATAGAAAATATCTCAGTAGTTCTTTGAAAGACACTTTTTCTACATCAAGAGGAATAACAGTGAATACTCTTTCCTCTTTTTAGTAAAAACTTCTTGGGGAAAAAAAACAATGAAAGAACTACTACTTAAGAAAAGTTAAATAATTTATTAGAACAAAATCCTTTATCAATAAAGATAGCTTAGGAAGAGAATTATACATATGGACAGAGTATTTGTTTAAAGGAACATGTTCACAGGGATATATATTTATGCCAAAGTTTCTCTATTTTCAAAACAAAGTTTATAACACATTTTAGATAAAAAATAGTTTTTAAATAAAACATGTTTTGTTCATGTAATACTTTTCAGGTGCTTCAAATCCTATTACTGAAAGGAAGTAGAAAGCTGCAATATATAAACTACTGATTCTCAAAAACAAAACATGTTTGAAGTGGTTCCCATTTATCCCAAAGAGTAACTTCAACCAGAAAAAAATAGTTTCATTCAAATGTTTTGGTAGAATATGGAAAACAGCAATTCCATCCAATGGATCACTATTCAATACTTTGGGTAAAGGCCACTTAAGTAAACTATTGAAAGCTAAAATCATGTGGGTTTTAACTTATAAAATCAGCTTATAAAGTACCTGACAATACAACTAATCTATTCTTCAATTTAGAGGAAGGCCTAGCAAAAGCACAAATTTTTAAAGCTCTTTTTTTTTTTTTTTTTCAAAAGTGCTTGAAACCTGGACTAATTCTCTTTTCCAAAGAATGAAGGGAGGTGGGCGGACCATGACTTTAGCTTCCTAGATTGAAAATTTGAAATAAGTTTGTTTTAACATTGTCTTTTCATAGTTTCTTCCTTATTTGATGCTTATACCCTCACATACACACAGCTTTTTCAGGGTACACTTTCATGTTTTCCCTTCTTAAATGCCACCTAAATGGTGGGCATAATAAAATTAAAACACAAGAATAGTTAATTAAAAACAGTTACGTGAATATGATACAGAGTAAAGAATTTATTATTTTGTCTGGAATATTAGGTTATCTTGAAGAAAATTTATTGACATAAAGAAATTAAAAAATAAAAATAAAAATAAGTAACAATTACTTGAGGATTTTGTCCCTGGTATTTTATAAATTTTAAACACTAAGCAAATCCATGTAACAATTTAGATTAAAAGGGTCCAATTTAATGCAGTTTTTATTCTAAACACAAGAAAAGGAATACCTAATTAGTATGTGATGTTGTAATGGTATTAACATAAAGCTCTGGCTCCACAAAAATTATTTTGGTAAATTCAATAAATTATAAATTACTGAGGAAAACAAACAAACAAACAAAAACAAAATCATCAACTTTAATCCAGAGTGGTTAAGATGTAATAGTTATGTGATATTTTTTATATGGAATCCTAGTACTGAGTTGTTCAGTGTAATAAGCAATGGAGAGTTTCTTTATTCATTTAAAAATTGTTTTAATATTGACCTATTCTTTCACATTTTGACATCAATTTCAAATCACATAAATTACAAGAATTCAAGAATACGTATTCTGTTGAAGAACATATCCTTTTCTAGGGTAAATGGACTTATGGCTACTATCCAAGCTCATTAATATCAACAACATCAGAAACTATTAGATGACAATGAAACTAGTTGTTTCAATATCTGAAAATATAGTAACTCGTGTTTAATTTATCTGATTATGAAAAGGTAGGATTTTGTTTGCTTGGTTATTTTATGATAAATATCCATATATATCTGCTGGCCAATCTCCTCTCCTAATAATAGATTAGTTTGTAAAAGTATATGCTATGTCTATTTTCTTTCTCCTAATTCTTTTTAATTTACATCCTCTTTCAATTACAATTAAGGGTCTAAGACATTAATTTCTTAATATTCACCACTTATTTTCAAAACCTGAAAATAAAAGTTGAGTTGTGGGCAGATTTGAGGATTGTCCTCTGAAAATACACAAGGATAATCAGTCTCTTACGTGCTCCACTACGTAAAAGTTAAAAATTCCCTCTTTGTTACCAAAGGAATTAAAAGCTATTTCATATAATCATGGTAGCCAATGTGCAAATCTAATAAGATATACTTGAGATTCCTCATGCTTTAAGTACAATATAGCCCAGATCACACAAATAATTATCTAATTTTCCTTCTTATTTTAATTATTTATTCTAACCTCCTAAAACGCTATACCCCAAAATACACAGAATCTAGTGAATACCTTTACTACTCCATAGCATATCTGTGTTGCCAATGACTTAAAGATTCCTGATACTTACCCAAAGCTTTTTCTTTCATCTCTCTTTCAATACTTTTTAATGTCTGCCGTTAGTCCTACTACATAACATCAATTAACATTTGACTCTCTGCCAGTCAGAATGCGGGACTTAGCCCACTTTTAATTTAACAGCTTATATTTATACACTATTTCAGATACCCAAGAAAGAACTCAACTCCCAGATAGTAAATGCCAGCTTTCTATCTACACAAAATGTTTATGATTAATTTCAAACACGTTAAGCAAACGAATCTTGGCTTCCCCTTAAACTTCCTAGGAAAAATTCTGTGTAATTTCCATCACCAACCCCAAATTTGTTCAAAGAACTTAAGTAATGTATAGATTATAACATGAAGCATGTTTACTCATGAGAAAAGCAAGATCTACTTTTTAACAACCAATAATGTATCTATCAGACATTTATTTTGCTTACTGGTCTTCATTTAGCAGAAGTATACTACTAATGGCATCAAATATTTGAGCACACAACAAGTACTGAGCACTGTGCTTTGTATATATTACCTATAACCCTTAAAATGTTTATGAGTTTGATATTAATGTCCCTACTTCAGTGATGAGCAAAATGCTAAGAAATGCTGAAGAACAGAGAACAGGGAACTTTATTACTTCTCTAAAACAATAAAAATATCTTAAGCTATTGTACTCATGTCTTTCATGTTATTTCCTCTAATTTGAATGTTTCTAATTTCCTTTTTCAATTCATACAGCCTGTCCCAAATATAATTCCTCCAAAATCCCTGCACAGAACATTTCTTTACATCTCTTCATTCTCAACATGGTATGAAATTTTCACTCCCAGTTGTATTACTGGATATTCTCTTCTGTTCTCCTAACACCCTTTGCATATTTATATGACACACAATTTCATATAGTATCATTACTTACCTGTTGCTTTCTTATGCTGTATTTACAACACCCCATCACAATAAGAACCAGTTCTTTTACATTTTTATTCTTAGCACAGAAGTCAGTACTTAGAAATATAATTAACACCGAGTAAGAGGCAACTGAATGGAAATTATTTTTGCTAGTTACATGGTTATGGCTTTACATAGCTTTATAACTTAATATTAAGATTAAAAATTCCAAAAATTGCCATTAGAAAACAACATTCTCCAAGATCCCTAAGAACTCCAGAGTATTCTGAAAAGACTGTGTCAAATATATTTTACTTTGCAACTATGACTTCCTATAAATTCTGCATAAATCTCTAGAAACAGACCTGAAACATGTATTTGCTGTTTTATAAAACAATTCTTAAATGTACCTGAGATACGAGACATCCTTGTAGAAAAATAACATTGCTCTAAGTCTTCAAAATGAGCAGTGAGTCGTTTTCGTCTTGATGCTAATGTGCTGTTATACCAAGGCTGTTTCTTTGTCTAAGGTAATGAGAAAAGAGACCTGTAACTCAGAACACACCACACTCTTCTTTAACACAGAATACCTAAATGCTTAGAGATTTACTTTCAAAAGTACATCAAAATAAAATGATATCAAATGGCGAAAACCTACATAATCCTCAGATCATGTTTTCCAAATTTTCTTTTAAAGTGAAAGCAAGAAACAAATCCACTGAGAATAACCAAAACAGAACAAAAATTTAAAATAAGCTCTAAACACTAGTTTTATGAAGTTAAATGGAGAAACATCTCTCAATTCTTCAAATTAATGAAGATAGAATACATTATAATGCCATTCTGAAACATAAAATTAGGAGACTTTTAATATCCAGAAATTGTTAGAAAACAATTATCAAATAGAAAGATACATACTTCTTCATCATCCCTATATTATAGCCTTTTACCCTTTGAATTATAAAACAGTTTTGACTTTAGGAAAGATCTAAGAATAATACTGATAAGTTTGACAAATGTAAGATTACACTGAGATTCCATTTTACTTCACTCAGAATGGTAATTATCAAGAATACAAATAACAAAAAATGTTGGCAAGGATGTGGGGGGGACAGGTACACTTATAAACTACTGGTGTGGGAATGCAAATTGATACAACCACTCTGGAAAGTGGTATGGAGATTCCTCAAAAAATAAGGAATGGAAGCACCATTTGACTCACTATCCCATTGCTGAGCATATATCCAAAAGACTTAAAATTATATACTATAGTAATGCAGCCACATCTATGTTTATAACAGTTCAATTCACAATAGCTTAGCTATGGAACCAGCCTAGGTGCCCTTCAACACATGAATAAATAAAGAAATTGTGGTATATATACAATAGATTATTACTCAGCCATAAAGAAGAATGACTTTACAACATTTGTCAGTAAATGAATGGATCTGGAGATATCATGTTAATAAGCCAATCCCCCAAAACCAAAGGTTGAATGTTTTTGCTGATATGTGGAAGCTAAATCACAATAAAGGGAGGGAGAAGAAGAGAAGGTAATGAGAGTAGAATGAATCGAACATAACTTTCCTATGTTCATATATAAATACATGAGCAGTGTAACTCCACGTCATGTACAACCACAAGAATGGAACCTAATTAGAATAAGTTACACTCCATGTATGTATAGTACATCAAAATACACTGTCATGTATATAAAAAAAAAAGGTTTGAAAAATGCATCAGAATACTAAAATCAGATACAAAGACAACAAACTTGAAATATGTGGAATATAAGCCCTATAAAAACAAAGGTTTCTATAGGAATGGTGACACTTGCCTATAATCTCAGTTATTTGGGAGGCTTAAACAGAAGGATCATAAGTTCGAAACTAGCTAGCCTGAGTAATTTAGCAAGATCTACTCTCAAAATTTTAAAAAATGGCTGGGGATATAGCTTAGTAGAAGAATACTTGCTTAGTACATGTGAGGCTCTAAATTCAATCCCAATACCGTGAAAAACAAACAACAAAAACAAAGGTCCATGATCCTAAATGTACATCCCATGCTGCATGTCTTCAATGGTCATCTATCATTCTAATGGCATATCAGAAGATACAGACGTTAAGAAACATAGTAAGATCCTGAGACGACACAAATTCACCAACAACTTACTAGTATCATGCCAAATGTATAAAGTAAGATGTATCAGGGCACTACATTAAACACTCTAGTGAAAAGTCACTCTAAATCAATGAAATGGGAAGAATTCTATTTTAAAATATTGCCTGACTCACAATAAAAGATAAACTTCCACTCAGATAATCAAGAAGTTGAATTCAAGAGAATTCATGGTAAACAAAATATAACAAAGGCACACGGTACGTAGAAAAAAAAGGCAACAGTTATTTAGGGAAAAATATCAACAAAAATTTTTTCATAGAGTACAGACATTTTCACTTCTGAAAATATTTTCATGAAATTGCCATGGGTGCATTAAAATAGATGGAAACCACAGTCTAGAGCTTAAACGTATATTAATAAAACAATTGTTACATTATAATCATATTCTAAATTATATTACATACTACATTTAAGTTTTTAATAGGCATTCCAAATCTGGGATTCTGGGACAAAATGAGTTAAAGAAATATTTTAAGAGTTGATAGTTGAGAATTTTCCAGGATTGAAAATGAACACAAATTCAGACACAGTAATTATTCCTGTCAACCAGGATAATCTTTTAAAATCCACAATTAGACACACTAAGGTAAAACTGTGTTTTTGTTCAAGTGCAGAAACAAGATCGTAAAATCAGATAAACAGTAAAGATAACAGGAACAAGAAACAAAATATTTTTCAAAAGCAATCACTGATGCTATTGACACAGTAAATCTGTATTACTTCAAAAAGGAGAGAAAATAGCTCCAACTTAAAACCCAGAACCTAACAAAACTATCCTGCAGCAATATAAAGAAAGCATATTTTCATGTGAATGAAAACAAATCTATTACCAATTGAGTTCTTTCTAAAAAAATTTCTGGAATTGTACACTTGAAAACTATTAATAACACAAACCTGAAGGACTAAAATACAAAATTAAAAAGACAAGGAAACTAGCAACAAAATAAATGGTTCAAAATAGTTTGTTATTATAATATCTAGTTTTATACGGTTTAAAAATATGACAAAAAATACACCAAAGAATAACATATATGTCAAGAGAGGATTGATAAAAGTTTGTATTCTAGAGCTTACATATTTCAGGAAAATAATTAAGACCTTAAGTGTTGAAATAAGTGTAAATAAATTTCAAAGACACTACTGAAAATGAGATAAGATTTGGGATACACAGAAAAAGCAAAATACATGGAGTCTCAATAGAGAAGGACCCATAAATGCCTATGAACCACTGGAAGCAAACAACCAACGCCTGAGAAACCCCCTCCCTCTTTGGCCCTTGTTGTCAAAAAAACTCAACATGATGTGAAGCAATGCACAAGCAGAGGGAAAACTGGTGTAAAACTGTATAACTCCGCCCTGACTCCCCAGATGAGAGGGACCTCAACTCAGGATGAGTAGAGTTCTTGCCTAACACTGCAGAAATGAATTTAAGGACATGTCAGAGGCACAGACCAATTTATTTAGGACAGCAGAGATACATATGGGCCATTTTAAGAGCAAGAAGCTACAACCCTTTGGTATGTGATGTCAGGGACCGGAGCTAAGGCTTAAACTAGCACGGGGAGTTTACATTGTTTTTAGATAGGTAAAGCTATGGTCATTTCATACAAGATAAAACATGAATGGTCAATAAATGTAAGAAAAGGTACTGGTCTTACAATAACAGAAAAATATGAATTTAAACCATAATCATATTCCATTTATCATTAAAGTGAAAGACATTTACAAGTTCAACAGTATTAATCATTGGCAAGAATGTGGAGAAACTGGAAGTCATATGCCCATATGATGGGAGTTTTAAACTGATAAAACACATTGAGGGGCTGGGGTTGTAGCTCAGTGGTAGAGCACTTGCCTCACACCTATAGAGCACTGGGTTCCATCCTCAGCACCACATAAAAAATAAATAAACAAACAAAATAAAGGTATTAAAAAAATTCTCTAAAAAAAAACACGTTGAAAAATACTTCGATATTAACACAAAATACAAATTTTTATACCCAATGACTCTCATTTCCTCTCCTAAATACACAATCTAGAGAAACTCTTGCAGCACTGTTTATTAGAAAATGCATACAATTAAATCTTTAATAGCGAAACACTAGAAACCTATCAAATGTACCTGGATTTGGTAATTGATAAACTGTAGCATATTAACACAATGGAAGGTTATACAGCAGTGAAAATGAACCAAACATAGCTACAGATATCAGGAATGAATTTCTGAAAATGGCTTATTAAAATATCATTTTTAGAAATTCAAATACAGCCAAACAAATAAAACAGTGAGTACTGTGATTTTTAAAAAACTCAACATGTTGATGTACACGAATATCAGAAAAGTGTTCACCTCTGGACAGACTACAGGGTAAATAGAATTTATTAGCAAAACATGGGTGACTTCTACAGTTAAATATTCTAGTAATTAACATAATTTATTTCATTTAAAAATTTGTTTTATTATAGTTATATCTCTTAACTTCAATATTCATGAATATATTCTTCTGTATATATCAACTTTTTTTCTTTTTTTTTTACAAATTCTAGGAGGAAAAAATGTAATTTTTTTTTAAAAAGTGATCAGTTCAATATAAAAGCAAAAATTTACAGCTTAAAAGATGAGAAAAATAACAATAAATATCAGAAATACAACACATAAAATCAATAAGAATTGGTCAACAACATTGTTTTACTTGACTTTCCGGTTTTTACGACAAATTCATCTTCACAATTATTTTGTCAATATTTATACTTAGCTTTTCTTGGACTTATTAAAAAACCTAGTGCAATTCCTTTCTAATCCATTCATAATTAGATTGCTTCAAAATTGTTGATAAATATTCAATGCTAAGCTAATTTTCACACACCATTCAAAAATTTACAAATAACAGGAGAGGGGTCTAGATAGGACAGAGGGTGGGAGGGGAAGGGAGAGGGCAGGGGGTTAGAAATGGGGTTAGCAATGATGGTGGAATGTGATAAACATAATTATCCAAAGTACATGTATGAAGACATGAATTGGCATGAATATACTTTGTATACAACCAGAGATATGAAAAACTGTGCTCTATATGTGTAATATGAATAGTAATGCATTCCTTGTCGTATAATTTTTTTTTTTTAAATCAGACCAGGCTCTCCAGGAATTAAGGTCTTTGATGACTGAATACTGGCAATCAGTCATTTCCTAGGCTTTAGATTTTACTCCTGGAACATTAGCCTCGATAGAAAGGAAGATTTTAGTAACTTGGAGTAAGTTAATTCTGTTGTATTGTGGGTAACACAAAGATTGTGGACACACAAGTTGTAAATAATTAATAATAAAACTATGATTAAATATTTTG